GCTGCGCCTTGGCCTTGGGCTCTGCGGCGGCGCAAACCCAGTCCGCGCCGCGCACCGAGAGCGCGCGGCCCGCGCTCTCGGCCGCCCCCCACGCCGTCGGGCAAGCCTGTTGGAAGGCCTCGAGGCTAAGTAGGCTGAGCTCGCGGCAGACGCCAGCCAAGCACGCCTGCCAGGCCCCCGCGAAGGCAGGCAGCCTGCGGTGCGCGAGGCCCTGGAGCCCTACCCCGCCGTCGGCCGTTGGCAGGAAGGCCAAGTCGCGCGCGAGAGCAGGCAGCGCCTGGTGCCCGGTGAGCGGCGTCAGGACCTCGTGCAGGTGGCTGAGAACCGCCTCGTCGTAGCTGCGACACCAAGCCTCGTCCAGCAAGTGCGCCCTCGCGTGGTGCAGGGCCGCGCCGTTGGCGAAAGTGCGGAGCAGCACGAGCTCGTCTTGGGCACGCAGACCGTGCGCTCTGAGCTGGCGGAGAGCGGCGAGGTAAGCGTCGAGGTGGTCCCGGGCCTTCTGCGGGGCGGTCGCCGGCGAGAAGCTCGCCCTCGCGGGGTCGGCGTCCTGGCCCTCCTCTGCCCCCGCGGCGTTGCGCACGTAGGGGAGGGTGCTTCCAACGCCTCCCTCCTCCCTCTCCTCCTCCAGTGGCCCTGGGAGGTCCAAGGCGCGCGGGTTCCAGACCTTCGTCTTCCGCGCGTTCAAGCGGAGGCCCCGCGCCGTGAAAAGCGCCGGCGCTGCGAGGAGCGCTGCTGCCAGTGCGCGCGGGCTGCCAACGACGTACACGTCGTCGAGGTAGGCCACCACCCTGGCCTCGGGGTCCACGTGGCGCGCCGCCGCCGCCAGGCTCTCGTAAAGCGTCGCCGTCGCCACGGCGAAGAACGCCGGGGAGAGGGGGCAACCCTGGTCAACCCCGCGCTCCGCTCTGACCGGCGCCGCTCGGGCACCTGGCAGGCGCGCCCCGTGCGTGGTGGCCCCGCCGTACCACGCCGTCGCCAGCTGGGCCAGCTCGGGCAGGCGGCCGGCGACCTCCCGTAGCAAGGTGTCCCGGCAGAGCTCGTTGAACGCGTTGGCTACGTCCAGGGAGAGCACTGCGGCGCCAGGTTCCTTTTCCAGCGTGGCCGCCACGACGCGGTGCATCAGTTCGATGCCGTTCTTGCGGCCCACGCCGAACTGGTGGTGCCCCACCGCTTCGGCGATGGCGTCCTTGTGTGCCGCCGTGGCCGCCTTGGCCGCCATCCTTCGCAACGTCTCGCCGCAGGCGAGCGGCCGGACGCCGCCTCCTGGCTTCAGCAGCGGCAGCAGTCGCCCAGCGAGGATGGCCCGCATGGCCTGCTTTGGCGCCCTGCCCTCGAGGATGAGGACGAGGACTTGCGTTAGCGCCTGCGTTCCTTCCTCGTGTCCGCGCAAGACCGCCCAGTGCTCGAAGCGTGCGCCTGAGAGGCCTGGGCCCGAGTGGCGCGGGTACTTCCCGAGGCTTGCCGTCGCTTTTTCGGCCGCTTCGGCTTCCCAGGGCGCCGCGGGCTGCGCCGAAGGGGGCGGCGGCTGGCGGGCGGCAGGCGCCTCTGGGAACAGGGCAGCAAAGTCACGAGCCACGTCCGGGCCCTGCGCAAGCTTGCCCGGCCCAGCGGCCGTCGCAGCCGCGCGGCCCACTTCCCCAAGCATGATGAGTTCATGCACTCGTCGGGTAAGCTCTTCTGGCTTGCGTTGTCCTGGGCGGTCCTCCGCTGGTTCCCCCGGTCGCGCCGTTGCGGCCCAGAGTGCTGTCCAGTCCCCGGCCCAAGCCTGGCGAAGTCGGCGCGGAAGTACTTTCGAGGCTGAAGGCTGCTCTTCGTCGCCGCCGCTGGCTGGAGGCACCGCGAACAGAAGCCGCGGGAGTAGGAGCAACCGGGCCCACGCCGCCTCGCTCGCGGGGTCGGCCGCGACCGCGCGCAACGCAGCGGCGATCACGTCCGCAACCGCTTTGACGAACGGAGGGGGGGTCGCAGTCCACGTGGGCACCGGCTCCCGCAGAGCGCCTGCCAAGTCGAACCCGGCCCACCACTCCAGCCCCGGGAGCTCGCCAGATTCCGCCGCCAGCGCGTGCCGCGGCTGGAGGTCACGCGGGCCTCCTCTGGCAGGGCTGGCAAACCCTCCACCGATCCCAGGGGCACTCCGCCAGGGATGCACGCTGGGTGGCGGAAATGCCTGTCTGGGTTTGCCCGGCTCGCGAGGCGCACCGCCCCCGGCTCGAATCCCGAGCAACAAACGCAGCATGCCGCCACGTACTTCCGGGGGGCTTGGATACTGGCCGTCCAAGCGCGCACCCGGGGAGGGCGTCCCGCAGCGGCGGCGGGCGGCGGAGCGGCGGCGGCGTCTGCGAGGCTCCCTGGGGCAGCACCGGCGCCCAACGCGCCGCCAAGCTGGGCTGCTCCACCCGGAGGCGCGGCAGCAGCTGCGCCGTTTCCCTCCCGCTTCTTCTCATTCACCCCCTGCATTTCCTCATCCTCTCCAGCTGCGGGCGGCCCGTCGGCAGCAGCGGCACCAGGAGCACCGCCAAGAAGGGCTGCCGGAGGCTCAACGCCTGCCGCTGCGTCACGCATGGAGGCGGGGATCCCCATATGTGCATCTTCTTCGTCGTCGTCGATGTCGCTCATAGGGCCCACGTCGCAGGCCAGTGGTCCTTCGTCTCCTCCTCCTCCTCGGTCCCAGCGAGGCCTCCGTGCACCATGGGAGCCCCGAACCCTACTCCTCCTTCTCCCGTCACTTACTCCCTCCTCCATCCGGCGACGTAGCCGACGTCGGCGGAGTCCACGGTGAGCTCAACCTCACGCCCGGCCCTGCCCGTTGCGGCTACGGTGGGGAGGGCCCTCTGCGGGATCACCCACCTCCCCGCCGGAGCCCGGGGCAGACGTGAGGTTATCGGCACGGCCGGGCCGCGCGCGGGGGGTCGGCCCTGGGCGAACCCTCCTCCTCCTCCTCCTCCTCCTCCTCATGCTCCTCCACAATTGCACAATATGAAGACTACTCTCCTCGCTCCCCTGATGACGTCCGGAAGATAATATTCGGCCCTCCTCCGCGTATAGTTAGTTTTTTTACACGGGAACCGGATTGTCGCTTGGGTTTTTGTTTTCAAAATGTTGTTCCCGCTGAGGCGTTGGCCTGATTTTCGGGCTTCCGCTCGTTCCGAATCGTGCTCCCGCTGCAGCGCTGGCCTCATTTCCGCGCTTCCGCTCGTTCCGAGACGTGCTCCCGCTGCAGCGCTGGCCTCATTTCCGCGCTTCCGCTCGTTCCGAGTCGTGCTCCCGCTGCAGCGCTGGCCTCATTTCCGCGTTTCCGCTCGTTCCGAATCGTGCTCCCGCTGCAGCGTTGGCGTCATTATTTCCAGCGCCATGCCACGGCATGGTTTTCGGTCCTTCCAATTCGGCTCCAAAATCTACAAAATGCTCCTCCGAAAAAATCCTCCGAAGTGATTACGCATTCGGTGTCGATTCGTTGATTTCTGTGGCGCCGCAAAAGCCCCCACTTTGGAGCGTCGCCACGCCATGTTATGTCATGTTACGCGTTGATCTTCAACACCATGCTATGCCATGTAATGCTATGCCATGCTGCGACATCTGACTGTGCGACTAAAGGGGAGGATGTCTGCGCCATGGTAAGGGGTGAGAGGGGGGGGGTAGGTTGTCAGATATGACGCGAGCGCACCTAGCTTGTCCTCCCCCCCTCCCTCTCCTCCCCCTCCTCCCCCTCCCCCTCCTCCTCCTCCTCCTCCTCCGCCTCCTCCTCCTCCTCCTCCTCCTCCTCCTCCTCCTCCTCCTCCTCCTCCTCCTCCTCCTCCTCCTCCCCCAGGCCTTCTATCGGCGGCGCGCCCAGGGGGAAAGTTAGAGAAGGAGGAGGCCTTCTCAGAAGGCGGCGGGGCATCTCAGAAGACCTCCGGCCTTCTGAGAGGTTTTTTGTCTCTTCGGGGAAGGCTTAGACAACTTTTCAGAAGGCCAGAAGACTTCCGAACCTCCTGAGAAGGCCCGCCCCTTCTGACTTCCCCCCAGTCTCGCCGACGACCAGGGCATGCGTGTGCAAGATAGCGTGAAGCAATCAATCGCGGCATCATCGAACATCAATCGAGGCGCTATCGGGACACCAGCGAAATTCAAACGCGACACCGTCGTGACACCACAGCTCACCACAGATATTTCGCACGGCGCCATCGAACACGTGTCGAAATACGATCGGGACAGCGTCGGCCATCGGCCAGCGCAAGTCTATCGAGACACCACAGCAGCACATTCATAGAGATAGCATCATGAGGCAGTCGAAATCACAATCGGGGCAGCGTCGAGCATCAATCGGGGCACCATCGGGACACCCAGATCGGTTCGTGCACGGCTTCGTGGGCGCGCCGTGAACGACACCAAGGCGGACAACGACTTGTCCGGCAGGGCCGGCTTCAGAGAGGATTTCACACCCGCAGGCTCTAATGAACACGAGCGGGTAGATTTGGACGAGGAGGAGGAAGAGGAGGAGGAGGAGGAGGAGGAGGAGGGGGAGTGAGTGAAGTAGATAGGATGTGTGTGCGTGTGTTCTGAGGAAGTGCGCACTGGCCCATCACATGGTAGCATTGCATACACGGGTCTGGAAGAGAGGACTTCGGCTTCAGTCGAGGAATACCTCCACCGGCTTCTCTGCGGTCAGAGGGTGCTTGGTCTTTGTCATCATGTACGCGTCGCCTTTGTGAAATACGACCTGCTGCCTCGCGGCACCGATTTGCCAGCCGCTAATGACACAGATCTTCACCACTCCATACTTGCGCAGGACGAAAGATTTTCTTCTTGAAGTCGAAGAGGACCACCCCCGTCCCCCGTGGAATCTTAACACGGGGGGGCTTGCGGTCGACGGATCCCATTCTTGTGGGTTCCCGGATAATAAATTCAAAACGGGGTAGAAATGGGATCCGCCGTGAAAAATAAGGTCCGACGCGGATCCCGAAAATCAGAAATGGGATCCGCGCGCACGGAAATGGGATCCGCCGCGATTTCACGATTACGGTAAGTTTGGGAATCGGATCCGTGCGACCCTCATTGGGTTCGCCGCTATGATTTCCCAGAGGGCCCGTGCACCGCGTGGGACCGTCAGGTTCAGCGCCAAGAGGAAAAAACTTTCGGCCTGGGGATGTAGTTACAAGTATGGCGTTCACAGAGCGCCTCCTTTTCCCCCTGCCCAGCCCCCCGACCCTTGCAAATTCTGGATCAGGAGCCGTTTTGTCCCAAGCGGCGCAGCTGTCTCCTGTTCAGGCGCTGCCCAATGCACGGCCATTTATGTTATTTACTGCTTTTCACACCCTTGGCAGGCCATGTCATTCGCATTAGAGGCAACAAGACGGTCAATGTATGTGGCGAGACGTTTACCGAAGAACAAATCGTCGGTGGGCAGGCCAACATCTCAGAGGGAGTTTTCCTCGTGGGCGTGAACCAGAAGGAGCAGACCACCGTGCTCCTCGGGGCGGCCAAGGAGCAGCTGGGCTGGGAGCCGGAGACGACGTTCGCGAACATTGGCCTCTTCTGGGGCACGATGCATCAGGACAAGAGTTATGTCGGGCGTGTCCCCCTACAGAGGGATTTTCGACGAAAAATGAAAAATACTTACAACATACCCCAAAAAGGTCATAAACTATTCAAAAAATAGTGCCCAGACTATTTTTGGAGTATTTTTGGATCATTTTTGGAGGTATTTTTCTTCTTTGTCGAAAATCCCCCTGTAGGGGGACAGGCCCGACTTCAGACAAGAGGACAGCAAGTATCGTTCGACCGATCCCCATCCCCACCCCCATCCCCAGCATCCCACCGCCCCCGTCGGGGAGAGGCCCCTCGAGACTCGAGGGGAGAAGCTCACGTCCCCGCCTAGGGGGGTGGATCCGTGGATCTGCCAGCTTCTGCCGGCGGGCCCAGGCCACGCCGGCGCGCCCGGGGGGGCAGGGATCGGCGAGGCGATGCTCGGACGAGGTCTTTGGTGTGGCCTCGGGCTGTGCAGGGACAGCCCCCCCCCCAGGCAACTCCCGGCTGGCCCCAACAGGCCCTCCTCCTCCTCCTCCTCCTCCTCCTCCCTCCTCCCTCCTACCTCCATGCCTCCTCCTCCTCCCTCCTCTCCGCCCTCCTCCGTGCTCCTCCTCTCCTCTCCCTCTCCTCTCCTCCTCCCCCTCCTCCTCCCTCATCCCCTCCCTCCTCTCCCTCCTCCTCCTCCTCCTCCCTCTCCCATCCCCTCCCTCGCCTCCTCCCTCCTTTTTCTCCTCTCATTATTCTCCTTTTCCTCTCCCCTCCTAATCCTCCTCCTCCTCATCTACTCCTCCTCCGCCCCCGAGTACTCCAGGGCGGTCTCCACAGGCGGTCTCCACCCCCCACGTCGGGGCGCGGAGCGCCCCCGGCCGCCGCCCGAGGCCGTCGCCTAGGGGCGCTGAGGCTGCCCGTGGCAGATCGGGGGGGCCGGTTGGGGCCAGAGGGTGTCTGCTTGAGGTCGGGCGACGAAATCTATACATATCCACTGCTCCCTGGCCAGGCCCATCCTGAACCCAGGAGCTGTGTATGCGCCCTCATGGCCAAGCCAGGAGGGCGTGGCGTATACACCGCTGCGGGGTCGAGGATGGGCCTGGCCAGGGAGCAGTGGATATGTGTAGATTTCGTCGCCCTATGAGGGTGCTGTCTTGTGCGCAGCCCGAGGCCTGACCAGACGAGGACGAGGTGTTGTGGTTCTTAAGGAGGAGCGAAGTGAAGTACATCGAGGCCAACTGCGAAGTTCATGCCGCCGACGCCGACAAGCGAGCCGCGCCGCCCGCGACGGTTGAGCCGCCCCCGCCAGACGGGCCCGCGTGATTCAAACACGTGCGCGGCTCCTCCTTCAGTGTTCGTTCCTCGTCCTCCTCGCTCCTCCAGCTTTTAGTCGTCTTCTTCCGTGTCTGCCTTCTGTGCTCGCTCCTTGTCCTCCTCGTATTGCTACTGCTTTCTCTCTCTATCTCTCCTCGTTTTTGTTATATATCTTTTTGCTTATGTAATTAATTATTGTGTTGTTGATTTGTCTGTCTCTCTCTCTCTCTCTCTCTCTCTCTCCCTCTCTCTCTCTATATCCCTCCTTTATATATATATATCTATATAATATAATATATATATATATACATACATATAACGGCGACCGGGTTCCGGGGCCCGGGGCCCGAGGTTCATCTGTCACAAATGTGCGGGCCCTGGTCCCCGGAGGCTCGTCGGGGCTTGCCGGAGGCCTCCCCGGTCAGACAAGACGGCCCCAGGAGCGCCCAAGACGGCCCAAGAAACTTCCAAGAGGCCTCCAAGAGGGCTCCGAGATGCTGAAGATGGCCTCCAGACGTCCAAGGAGGCCCCCAAGAGGCCCCAAGAAGCCTCCAACATGCGTCCCAAGAGGGCCACTAGACGCAAAAATTGGCCCATTCCCTTCGTAAAACGTACATTTTCAACAAAGTTGTCTTTTGGGCTTTCCGACGTTACAGGACGGCCCAAGAGGCGCCCAAGACCGTCCCAAGACGGCCCAAGAAGCTTCCAAGAGGGCCCCAGGACAGCCCAAGAGGGCACCAAGACGGCCCAAGAGGCGCCCAAGATGGCCCAAGAGGGCCCCAAGACGGGCCCCAGAGGGGGCCCAGAGGGGGACCACGAACCGCAAGCTCGAGCCTTCCGCCCCAAGAGGCCGCCAGGAGGCCCCAAGGAGGCCCCTCAAGAGGCCCCAGGAGACCCCCCAAGAGGCCCAAAGGAGGCCCCGAGAAGCCCCAAATCGGCCCCCAAAATGCTTCGAACCTGCTTCCAGGAGGCCCCCGACAGGTTCAGAGGCTACCGAGAAGCTACGTCAAACTCCCAGCGAGCGGCCGGACGAGGCCCCCCACAAAATCACAAGAGGGTTCCAGTATTTGTATCCTTCAGCGCTCTCTGGCCTTCTTCCCCCTGCCCCTTCCCTGCGACTTTCGTTGACTCAAGCTCGCCTCCTAGCTAGAACCTAAGCGCGCGAAGCGCGCGCGTGGTTCTAGTATATATATATATATATATATACTATTATATATATATATATATATATTATAATATATATACATATATGGGAGATCCCGGGCCCCGGGCCCCGGGCCGGAACCTCCCTTGTATATAGGGTGCGGCCCTCTCCCGGGGCGCCCTTCCGGCGGCCCCCGCGCGTTCCAGCCCGCCCAAGAGGGCTCCAGGAGCGCCGAGAGAACCCCAGGATCGCTTGAAGACCGCCAAAGATCGCTTCCAGAAGGGTCAAGAGGCGCTCAAACCGCCCCAAGAGGCCTTCAAGAGGCCCCCCACGAGCGCCCCGGGAGACCAAAATAGCCCCATTCCCTTCGTAAAACGTACATTTTACGATATCAGCTCCCTTAGCTGTCGGAGCGGCCCGAAAGCCCCACGAGGCGCCCAAGGACGCTCCAGGACGACTGAGGACAGCCCCACGACGGCCCAGGAGGCCCTCCCGGGACGCTCCTCTGGCGGCCCCCGGGCTGCCCAGTCCGCCCAAGAAGGCTCCAAGAGCGCCGAGAGAACCCCAGGATCGCTTCAAGACCGCAAAAGATCGCTTCCAGAAGGGCCAAGAGGCCATCAAACCGCCCCAAGAGGCCTCCAAGAGGCCCCCCAAGAGCGCCCCGGGAGACCAAAATGGCCCCATTCCCTTCGTAAAACGTACATTTTTAGGATATCAGCTCCCTTGGCTGTCGGAGCGGTCCGAAAGCCCCACGAGGCGCCCTAGGATAGCCCGAAGACAGCCCAGGAAGGCCTCCCGGGACGCTCCTCGGGCGGCCCCCGGGCCTCCCAGTCCGCCAAAGAAGGCTCCAAGAGCGCCGAGAGAAGCCCAGGATCGCTTCAAGACCGCCAAAGATCGCTTCCAGAAGGGACAAGAGGCCATCAAACCGCCCCAAGAGGCCCCCCACGAGCGCCCCGGGAAACCAAAATGGCCCCATTCCCATCGTAAAACGTACATTTTTAGGATATCTCATCCCTTGGCTGTCCGAGTTGTCAGACAGCCCCAGGAGGCGCCCAAGGACGCCCCAGGACGCCTGAGGACAGCGCTAAGAGGGCCTAGGAGTGCTTCCTGGGACGCTCCTCGGGCGGCCCCCGGGCCTCCCAGTCCGCCCAAGACGGCCCAAGAGGTTCCCAAGAGGCGCCCAAGACGGCCCGAGAGGGCGCCAAGACGGCCAAAGAGGCCCCCAAGACGGCCCGAGAGGGCCCAAGACAACCCCAAGAAGGCCCCAGGATGCCCCAAGAGGCCCCCAAGAGGCTTCCAAGAGGTGCCTAAGAGGCCCCAAAGAGGCCCCAAGAGGCAAGGCGGCAGAGAGTCGGCGAAGGCAGTTTCCATACCATGCCCGGCCCGGCGCATTGGAGGGGGATGGGGAGGACGAGGAGGGGGAGGGGAGGGACGGGGATGAGGAGGAGAAGGAGGAAAAGGAGGAGGAGGAGGGGGAGGAGGAGGAGGAGGAGGAGGGGGAGAAGGAGGAGAAGGAGGAGGAGAGGAGGAGGAGGAGGAGGAGGAGGAGGAGGAGGAGTGGGAGGAGGAGGGCGATGAGGAGGAGGAGGAGGAGGAGGAGGAGGAGGAGGAGGAGGAGGAGTTTGAGCAAGTGGAAGAAGGAAGGATTCAGAAGGAAGGAGGAAACGGTGGAGCGGGGATGAGCCTCTTCATTTGAGATGTTGAGGCGTTCGGGTTCGATTTCTGGGCTCGGGTCTTCGGTCTCAAGGTTCAAGTCTAAGGGTGAGGGTGTCATGGAAAGATTGTTCGGGTTTGAGTGCTCTCGTGGATCTTCTTGGGAGCCTCATGGGCCCTCTTGGAGCCATTTTGGGCCGTCTTGAGGCCGTCTTGGGCTGTCTTGGGGCCATCGTCGGCCATCTTGAGGCCCTCTTGGAGTCCCAAGAGGCCCAAGAGGCCGAAATTGTTGATTTTCCATAGGTCTTTCTATGTTTTGAGGCCCAGAATGAGGCCCTCCAGATTTGGTCCGACGATGTGGCGCGGCTCCAAGGGGGGGGGGGGCATAATATTGCAGAACAATACAATATGTAGCATATGTAACAAGTATGCAATCGTTGGATACACTGGACACGTTGCATTAAAGCATCCGCGGACCTGCCTCTGGCAACACGTCATTTTCGGACGTAGATTTCCCGCGAATCGCCACGGAATCGGACCCGTGCTTGCGAACACCGTTTTCGGAGCAAACTAGAACCTAAGCGCGCGCGAAGCGCGCGCGTGGTTCTAGTATACATATATGGGAGATCCCGGGCCCCGGCCCCGGGCCGGAACCTCCCTTGTATATAGGGTGCGGCCCTCTCCCGGGGCGCCCTTCCGGCGGCCCCCGCGCGTTCCAGCCCGCCCAAGAGGGCTCCAGGAGCGCCGAGAGAACCCCAGGATCGCTTCAAGACCGCCACAGATCGCTTCCAGAAGGGTCAAGACGCGCTCAAACCGCCCCAAGAGGCCTTCAAGAGGCCCCCCACGAGCGCCCCGGGAGACCAAAATGGCCCCATTTCCTTCGTAAAACGTACATTTTTACGATATCAGCTCCCTTAGCTGTCGGAGCGGCCCGAAAGCCCCACGAGGCGCCCAAGGACGCTCCAGGACGACTGAGGACAGCCCCAAGACGGCCCAGGAGGCCCTCCCGGGACGCTCCTCTGGCGGCCCCCGGGCTGCCCAGTCCGCCCAAGAAGGCTCCAAGAGCGCCGAGAGAAGCCCAGGATCGCTTCAAGACCGCCAAAGATCGCTTCCAGAAGGGCCAAGAGGCCATCAAACCGCCCCAAGAGGCCTCCAAGAGGCCCCCCAAGAGCGCCCCGGGAGACCAAAATGGCCCCATTCCCTTCGTAAAACGTACATTTTTAGGATATCAGCTCCCTTGGCTGTCGGAGCGGTCCGAAAGCCCCACGAGGCGCCCTAGGATAGCCCGAAGACAGCCCAGGAAGGCCTCCCGGGACGCTCCTCGGGCGGCCCCCGGGCCTCCCAGTCCGCCAAAGAAGGCTCCAAGAGCGCCGAGAGAAGCCCAGGATCGCTTCAAGACCGCCAAAGATCGCTTCCAGAAGGGACAAGAGGCCATCAAACCGCCCCAAGAGGCCTCCAAGAGGCCCCCCAAGAGCGCCCGGGAAACCAAAATGGCCCCATTCCCTTCGTAAAACGTATATTTTTAGGATATATCATCTCTTGGCTGTCCGAGTTGTCAGACAGCCCAGACGCCTGAGGACGCCTGAGGACAGCGCTAAGAGGGCCTAGGAGGGCTTCCTGGGACGCTCCTCGGGCGGCCCCCGGGCCTCCCAGTCCGCCCAAGATGGCCCAAGAGACTTCCCGGTCGCCCCGAGAGGGCCCCCGGAGCGCTCCGATACGGCCCAACATGGCCTCCAGAAGGGCCACGAGGCCGTCAAGACGCCCCAAGAAGGCTCCAAGAGGCCTTCCAAAAGGGCCCCGGGAGCCAAAACTTACTCCATTCCTTTCGTACCACGTATCCAACTTATTCCAAAAGCCCCAAGAGGCGCCCAAGGGCGCCCCAAGACAAGCTTGGGAATGAGGCCTCGCACGAACGTCAATGCATGGAGTCTGCCGGGACGGTGGGAGGAGGAGGGATGAGGAGCAGGAGGGAGGGGGAGGACGGGGAGAGAGGAGGAGGAAGAGGAGGAGGAGGGAGGAGGAAGAGGAGGAGGAGGAGGAGGAGGAGGAGGAGGAGGAGGAGGAGGGAGGAGGAGGAGGAAGGGAGGAGGGAGGAGGAGGAAGGAGGAGGAGGCGGAGGAGAAGGAGGAGGAGGAGGAGGAGGAGGAGTTTGAGCAAGTGGAAGAAGGAAGGATTCAGAAGGAAGGAGGAAACGGTGGAGCGGGGATGAGCCTCTTCATTTGAGATGTTGAGGCGTTCGGGTTCGATTTCTGGGCTCGGGTCTTCGGTCTCAAGGTTCGGGTCTAAGGGTGAGGGTGTCATGGAAAGATTGTTCGGGTTTGAGTGCTCTCGTGGA